TGTAACAAGAGGCGAGCGGCACCAGTGAAGACACAAAGCACAGCGCCTCTTCCCCTCTCCATGTTCGTTTCACAGGCAGAAGAAGCTGCGACGAGTGAGCAGCAGGTCGAGTGGCACACTGGGAGGCCGAAACTTGTTGTAAGAAGCTTCAGGAATGAAATTAAACGGTACAAATTCCTCTTTCTAGCTATTATAGACTTTGATTCCCTTCCTCACTTCTGTTTTGTGATTTGTCTCGTTTTTTATGCATTGTTTGTTTCTGGCAGCAGTGGAGGCGCCGATCTCGTGAAGTATGCAGAAAGGAAATCAAAATGAGCCATGATATCTTTATAGCTTACTTGTTTCTGCAATCCTTTTTATGCATTGTTTGTTTCTGGTTTCTTTTTTGGGTTTAATTACTTTGTGAGCCATGCTATCTTTATATTAAAACTTTTGAAACTGATCTGTGATGATTTCATGTAATTTTATGTTTTTGCACTATAAAACTTTTGAAACTGATATGTGATGATTTCATGTAATTTTATGTTTTTGCACTATACAGTTCTGTTGCAAACAATTTTACCAAACAGAGGCAAGAATGTTATTTATACAACAATAACTACCAATAAGCTATTTTGAATAAGCTGCCCCAAACAACAACCAACTTATTCTGATAATCTGCAGATTATCAGAATAATTTGTTTATCACCAGATTATAAATAATCAACAGATGCCAAAACAGACCATAATTCTAGTTTTCCTCCTCTGAAGGCTATACAATTTATGTTTATGCGCCCTATTTTTACAATATAAGCAGGTCACCCTCTTGAATTTATCATGAGAATAACTTCTCTTGCCATGATTAAAAGGGACACTTATTCAAGAGATCTCTCCCGAACTTGCAATAAAGTAATAGCTATTTCATCATCATCCTTGAGCTTAGTAATCGCCTATTTTGAAAGAAATAGATTCACAACATCCTATGAGCTTATTGTATTCATTCATATAACACAGATTCACAAGAGTTCTTATAAGTAGCTAAGGAGCGCAATAATAATAGTGCCTGACCCTAATCATCAATAATTACATTAATATTTTGGATGTGATTTAGTAAGCATATCTTCCTACATGCAGAGTGAATACAATATTTGCTTATTGTATAGTTCATTGGAGAGTCTTTTAACCATGTACAAAGCTCAAGCTATGAACTTTTGTAGTTATTTCCTCCAAGAACTCTATCAAAATCTCATCTACCAAACATAATTGAACTTTCAAGATGGTAATTTAAACCATCCTTATCTTATCTTTTTCATTTATCATAACAAGCATATTTGAATGTCCCATGAATGTTTTCATAAATTCATTCAAAATTAATAAACCTTGCATCATAATTCTCCAGAGCTCAAATCTTTGTGTCTCTCTGTGTGCTTGATATTTTTCATTTACTATTTTGCACATTGTATTTTGCTCATGGAAATATTTTTATATAAGATTAGTTGTTCATTTTAACATAGTGACAACAGATCAATAAGCATAAATATCTTGTGGTTGCTTGATCAAGAGTCTCTACATTGTTAATTCGTAAGACATTTGATTCTAAAAAATGAATCATTTGGTCCATAGTACTAACTCGGAACATGAAAACTTTGCCATATTGTAGTAGTACATAAAAGCCTAACGATTGATCTTATGTGCCTAAGCTGTGTCATGGATGGCTACCACTTTACGTGAAATCTCAAATGATTGAGCAACTACCCTTCTGATTTGAAGCCAACAACTATGGTGCAAGGATCTTGAAGTTTGGGGGTTGCATTTTGCACCTGGGTCATATCAATCTTGACATGTAAATTTGTAATGCCAAAATTATGATGGTATTACATTAAAGTTGTCAACAAATAGCTTTTTTTACATATATTCATTTGTATGTAGCAGTCACTTGATTTTTTGATATTTGTTAAGTAATGTCATATGGATGTTAACGGTTTGGTTCATTGAGATTTTTAAATAACAATTTATGGCTTCCAATAACAATTTCATAAATGGCTACTATGTAGATGTCAACTAACTCTACAGATTATTGTATGTAAGATATATCATAATCATCATTGATATTTCCTAATAACATTATAAATTATATTAAATCAAACACAACATACTTGATAAATGACCCTATTATTGTTATCAATATAGCCACAATTATCTACATAACATTAGACCAAAAGAGCCTAAATGTTGCTTCTCTTGCAAGACATTACATGTTATTGTGGTATTGCAAACTCAGAACATACATAAAAATTGATATTCGTAAAAATCTGTGAATCAAACCTGTAAATAAATTGTTCTCTCATTCTCCCAACTTATTGACTTTGTTTGACATATATCACGTGATAGTGCATTCATATTTTTCATGTTTGTATGCCTAGCACATGCCCTTGCATTTGAAGTCATCATCCTTGACCTTAGCAGGCTAGACATTTAACCATTACCAGATAACAAATCTATCAACAAAAGTAGTGTACTAGATCAATGCACAGAAAGTGATAAAAACAATATGTTGAGTGAAAAATAGTTGCATTTTCAAGTTAAATAAAAATAGAGGTGAAACCAACTTGATCACAGAATGGTAAGCAACTTGAATTGATTAAGCAAGGTTAAAAGAAGGATGGAAACAAAGAGCACAAAAAGTGAAATAGCTCGAATGCATTGTCCTCATACAAAACCTTCGAAGGCCGACTTGTCCAAAGCTTGAATTGATTAAACAAGGTTAAAAGAAGGATGGAAACAAAGAGCACAATAAGTGAAATTGCTCGAATGCATTGCCCTCATACAAAACCTTCGAAGGCCGACTTGTCCAAAATATTGGTCCTTAAAGGTTTTACAACCTTTCTACGATTCCTTTGAGAGAGAAAGATATTGGCAAACCCTCCAACATTAGATACCGCATCAATTGCTGGTAAAAATGAAATGCAAAAGTTGGTCACGGAGTTGTAAAAAGCAGGTAAATGACCTGCTGTATCTATCTTATAGGATCTAAGAAGAGAAAAATAGAATTTTTTTCAAAAATAATTAGTAGTCTTGCATTATTAACTTGCTGTTACCTATAAAACAAACTTTAATGTTGGCTTAAGTGTCACATTGGAAAATAGCTATTTAACTAACCAAAGAATCCAATTATTTATTTTTAGCATTCATGCAATGCAATAATTCAATCAAGCCAACCATGCCTTTTCCATCTGCAAAAAAAGGATGTAATCGGGTTTCATGCGCATGAAAAATTGAATTTCTAGTTTATAAGAGATAATTAAATGTGATCACTTCTCAAATGATTAAACCTATCCACAACTTTACAGTAAATGGGTCTTAGGGTTCATAATCCTTACTCCTACCACATGATAAAGGGATAAGAAGCAACTTAACAAAGAATCATGCACTATCAAGTGAAACGGGGAACATTGGGAGCTCTAGTAAGTCTTAATTTCAAGCGTCAATAAACTTGGTGGTTTCTACTTCTGTTAAAGTTGTGGAAAAATTTAGCTTAATCTAATACCAATAGTTGAAAAAAAAGTTGTGATGCCAACATGATCCTCATGAATACATAAGATTTGTGTTTCCTTCTACACAGCTTATTGGATCAGAACTCTAATCAGAATTATAGACATTATCATTACTAGTTCCCCGAATAACCTAAGCCTTCTCCAACAATGCATAGAAAAGTGAATTTTTAGAAGAACAGATAATAAACCGTACAACCAAATATCAGTTGAGCCAATTGTTAAGCGTTGGAGCCCGATCCACGCCTCCCCAATCCCGCTCCGCTCCCGATCGCGAGCTGTCGCGATCCCACTCCCGATCGCCTGCTCCCACTCTTCCGCTTGCGAAAGGTAGCGACCCCGACCTACGGTCTCGCGA